TTACATTTGAACTTGTATCCTCATCTTTGTTGTGATCACAATGTTTCAGCTGTTGTAACCCTCTAGTCTTCTTCAGGGTAACCTTCAGAGAATTTGAACTGAATCCTTTATTGAATCCACTGGGATAGATTATTCTTGTTCCCCTTGTGTTCACATCTATGTATATCTCATCTTATTTAGTACTGCTCAGTTATTTCTCACTTCATTTTCGTGGAGTCCAAGTACAAAAACTTCCTGGCCCAAGAATTGAACTCACAATTACTATGCCACCAAATTCACAAACTAACATTTTACTCCACTAGGCTATTTTTATATTATTTGTTATCATAATCAAGAATTCAATCCCTGTATTGAATAGTAAAGACTGTGGAAACATGGAGAGCAGCACTAAATAAGAATGAGACATCTTTAGACATGGACAGTAGAATACTTTTGGGCAAGAATCCACCAAAAACATTGCTGGTCTTAATGTATGTGTTCAATGGCACAGCAGGTGATTTGGTTTGGTTTGGTTTGTTTTATGGCATATCAACCACAATGAGTTATTTAATGCCGACAAAATTTCCTTTTTTTTTCTCAAAAATGTATAGCTGGTAATATTTTTTTCAAAAATGTATAGTTTGGTTTATTTTGTTTTGTGGCATATTAACCTCAATGGGTTATTTAATGCTGACAAGATTTTTATTTCTGGTAATATTTTCTTTTTTCAAATATTTTGTGCTGATACTAATTTTTTTAAAAAGTATTTCTTGTATTAAAATCTATTTTTACACTTTTATAGTGTTTTGGGTCAGGTTGTGGGGTCAACTATTTTCCCATAGCTGGGACCCTAACAGATGCTACCACCCTGGGTCAGGGTGGACCTGGGAACACCAGCAATTAAGAGGTGGATCCATGCTCCTCAAAACCTCCTGATCAGAGGCCTTGCTGCTGGATGTAGTTTATCGTCTTACCCAGGACAGGGCACAGCAGGTGAATCTCTTCAAACTTTTTCTAACATCCAGCCATGACAAATGCTCAGCAAAAGTTTTACGCCCTACCCATTGGCACATCAGACCATTCCCTAGTCAGTGTTCAGATTGACTCCAAACAAATGACATCCCTTGATTTACCATTCTATAGAACAGTTTTTGCTATGCAAAGGCAGACTGAGACAGCTTTTGGTGCTATATGACAGAAGCTCCTCTCCCCAAATTCTTCAAACATTCTGTCCCCAAAAAACTGCTGCTTTAGTCTCTGAATGGATCCTTTCTGGAATGGAGTGTTTTACACCCACCAAAAAATTCCAGCATAAACCAGTCAGCCCTGGTTTACCCCTGAATGCACTGCAGCCACAGTTCATTGGAATCACTACTTCAAAATCTATCACAAGCAGCAATGTAGTCTGGCACTTACTACTTTCAGAACTGCCTGCAATCGCTGTCAGAAGGTTCTGAAAAATGCAAAGTAGAGCTATACATGAGCTGTCTAGGCCAAGGTTGAAAAGAAACAAATTGGATATCATGAATTCTGGAATATCACCAACCAAATTATGAACATATGGGACTTGGGTGCATTCTCTGATGATCTAGGTTAGCTCACAGGCGATGGAGAAGTCTCTGCAATATCTGCCTTCATCATCGGTTTTGTTAGAGTAGACTAACCATTCTTTATGGTGGATATTGAAGTCACCACAGATATGAAAGCTGGCTGAAGGGAAATTTGCTGAGGATATTGTCACTCATCTTTGATATTTGACTGAACATTACTGACCTTTCATCCTGAGGATGATAAAGAGCAATGACAGATGTGGTACTATGGATAAGTACCATGCATAGAGTTCAAAAGCGTCTCTGAGCCCTTGTTAGAGAAGAATTACTTTCCACCCTCCAGCCTCTCTCTCACAGGTGGGATGAGACAAGCCTTTCAATGCTCTATCATTACTACCATGGAAAGTGCTTGGACTCAGACGAATTACATTTCTTGTTTGTCAGGTCTAACCTTCATAGCTAGGACCTGCCATACCACTTACATAGTAGTGTAGAGGACCGTGTGGGTTTGCGTGTTCTTGAATTAGGAACACGTGCTGTTTATTTCCTGCTAGAAGGTCCAACTACAAGAACAAAGGCGGACTCAAGTTGAGTCCAACCGAAGATGTAAAGAAAACAAACAAGACCTATATATATATATATATATATATATATATATCGATGTCAACAAATATATGTATTAAACAACAAATTTACAAGTGACAAAGACGTTAGCATTTGTGTTTGTGTGTGAACGTAAAGAGTTTGTATTTCAGTGAATGTTCGTACGTACGTGTATGTGTGTTTCATGGCGTTGTTCCACAAGTGGACGAAAACGCAGATTTCTACAAGAGATTACATTTTTAAATGTGTCTGCTGAAATGCAAAGTAGAAAAGAAAACAAGGCAAGAAGTCGCCCAGTATTTATAGTGTAGTGAGAGTGACCCCTAGTGAACAATTAGGGAAATAAGGAGGAGCTAACTCCGACAGTAGCAAACTACCCACATTCCCTCTGTATTCCATTGGTGAGAAGTAAGTCCCACTCAAACAGCTTCTTCTTGTGAACCACTGCCCTGTGGAACAGACTCCCAAGAGGATGTTTCCCCGATCACTACACCAGTTCAAGTCTCAAACTTAACTTTTATCTTTCCCTCCTATCCGTAATAAACTATCCCTTAACGTAACCTTCTACCTCGAGTGGCCCTCGGACCTTGAACAGGATGAACTCTACTGTAAAAAAGAAAAACGAGATTTAAATCAAGGGTGCAAGTTAGCCCGATTGACAGACACCCGTAGAAGGCTGGAGAGCATAACAGCCGACTATGATAACAAACATGAAAATATTAGTTAAACTTAATAATAATAACTAATATGTTTGTTATCATATCAAAGTGTATGAAATGAATGTAAAAACAGAAAAATAGCCTTTAAAAATATAATTTTACTTAGCAAAGGTGGAGTTTGAAAAGATTGCCAACGGTTGACGGACTGAAACAGATGTGGAGGTACCTCTTTACCTACCTATAAAACCTAATGACTAAAAATCCCAAATTGTTTGGGTCATTATCGCTGATCATTTACCAGCACGGACCTCATATTTGGCGCGACTCTTTTTTTTTAAGCAAGATTTTTTTAAAAGTACTTTTCAAATTTTAAATATGTAAATTAATTAAGCAAGCCACGCACTTGAAATTTGACAGGAACTTGTTTCGATGTTTTGAAACTTTTTGATTTCAGGAAAAAAAAAATGTATCAAAATTGCAATTAAAAATAAAAATACAAGTCATAAGAAAAATAAATCGCACTGATTTTTTCTTAAATGATGATCAAAAACGAAAATATTAAATGAAATAAACATAAAATTAAGTCATTGCCATTAGTCAATAATGACTCAAAGGAGAGCATGCTGAATTCAATGAAAAGAAAAAAGTTTTCGGTTCGACTAAAAATGACTAATCGGAATTTTTTTTAAAGCTTTCTTGGTCGGGCCGAGAACTTTTCAGCACTACCATATCGTGGATAGGACTTTTCGAAACAAGCTAATAACAAAAAAGCTCTAAACAATGAATAATAGACGAATTTAAAAGAAATACATTAAAAACATTATTTCTTTTTTTATTGTAGCAGTAGATCAACAAAGTTGCTTTTACTGACCAGACATCGAGAAAAATGTAACTATTTTTTTCTATTTCCTTTCCAAAATTGTATTTTTTCAATCAAACTAAAGAAAGAAGCTCAAAACATTACGAAAGAGTTAAAAAATTAACAACACTTATGATATGAGAAATAAAAACAAATTTATTTCAAAGAAAGCAAGCTCTGAAAGTAGAATAGAAAATGATCTGTGATTTTTATTTTTTATAAATGAAAAAATAAACAAAATTTTACATTCGTTTTGTTTTTGTAGTTTTCGTTTGTTAAAAAAGTTAAATGGAAAATAAATTGACTTTTAAAAGTAAAAGACTTTAAAAAGAGCAGCTGCTTTCTTTGAGATTTACATAAAATTCGACACAAAAATCAAGTTGATTTTTTATATTTTTAGAGCAGAAAATGATTTTTAAAGCCATTTATTTGTCCTCTGATGACAAATGTCCAGCTTTTTACCAAAACAAGATTTCTTCAGCCATTACATTTTATTTCTGACCAGAAATGATTATTCAAAGAATTTTATGATTGCGTTGTGATCGAAGATTTTCGCTAAATCTTTTTTCTCTTTAAATATTTAGACCTTTCTTTTGAAAGTGAATTTGACAATAAAATTTCGGTTTATGACAACATAAAACTAAAATTTAATCAATGGGTGTGATCAGCTGCTTTATGTCGCTTAGATAGACCAGAAAAAAATGATGCTTCGAGGAAATAAAAAAAAAAGCGTATGGGGGTCAGGAATATAAATTAATATCACACATAAAATGTACTTTTTTTTGTCAAAAACCAGAACACAAAGATCTGCTTTTTAAATCTTAAATTTCAACAAGGCGAGTTTTTTTTTGTGTTTTTTTTTTATCACACTAAAAAATAAATGATAAAAATTTGAAAATAAATAAGATGTAGCCGAAAAAGTATTTAAAAAGTTCATTAATAAAATCTGCAATGTAATTAAATCCATTGTTTGTTTATACTTAATTAGTAACACTAGTGTCCAATTAGCACCTAATGATGATGATGATGAAAGGTGTGTTTTTTTGTTGTTTTAACCACGTGATCACTTTAGCGTAAAAAATTCATAGTGAAGTCTTCTTTAAACGATTTTATTAACTTTTTTGGTATTTGGAATTCGTATGAAATAGTTTCAATTTTATATTTTCCCTTAATAACGCCATAAAGAAACTGTTTTTAAGCTGTCAAAAGTTTTCGTCAGTTTTTTTAACACGAGGAGAGGGGAAAAAAATCAACTTTAGTTTTTAAAATACAAAAAATCGATCGTTTCACTTAATAAAAAAGCTATTTATTATCAACTGAAGAAATAAGAAATGCTAATCAATATCTTACCATCCATTTTCGACATTTTGTAAGCAGTTTTTACAAGTCACAATTGACTTGGCGTCCAAATATTAAAGAAAATTCGGATAAGAAAATAATTTTCCGAGCGAAAGCAAAGTATAAAGTTAAGCTAATGACAACCGGAAGTTTTTAAACCTAAACTTCCGCTGTTTTCCTTCCCAATTAAAGGTGCAACTCCAAAATTGATATTCCACACAAAGGTGACCATAAAAAAATATTTTAATAAAATCTGCGTGGATCGCCAATATTTTTCTGAATAATATCAAGAATGATTAACAAACGTCCTTTTTTTTTTTTGCTAATTTTGAAATCAGTTATTTTTTAACGCTCACCCAATTGCGGATTTTAGAAGCATATTTTTAATTTCATCGACTTTTTTTTTCACGTAAAACAAAAACTCTTCTTGTTCCTCCGCAAAATTCAAATTGATAAAATAAATCAATGGATTTGAGTTCACCTCTAATTTCTAACTGTGTGTAGTGTAATTTAAGTCAAAAATGTATAGTTAACTTACTTTTACATAAAAATTATCCCCCAACCTAACTAGGTTATCAATGGTTGTTTAACTTTGTCTTTTTGGTTGATTATTAAAAATTTATTTTTGAAAACAAAAAAGACACTTGACTAGACTTTTTTTATAAACTTTGAGTTTGAAATGAAGCTGAAGAACGTCGTGGTAAACGTTTATTTTTTTTTAATCGGACTGTGTAAGCCATTCTTGCAATTAGTCTTATGTTCCCTGTGAAATGCAATATATCAATTCCATTTTTTAAAGAAAGGGTTTGTTTTTTTTCGTTAATACTTCAACAATTTTTTTTACAAAAAAATCTCATGCGGAATATATTTTTAAAGGAAATATTTTCGCCTTGGCATTTTTTAGTGCAATTGAATTATCTCCCTTAACACCATGTGTTTTGTTGCGACCGCTATGTAACGAATGATGTCACATTTCATTTAGAGCGAATCTAGCTAAGATATAACTTTAACATTTTTGTTAATGTCACTCTATATTTTAAAGACATTTCAGAGTAGTTTTCGATCCCTTCTCAGTCTTCCAAAAGTAGATTATGTGCATTTTAATAATTTCAGAAAAAAAAAGTTTCTAACCCAACGTTGGAGGTCGTTTTACCAAAGCAGCAACCCTAAAATTTTGAAGCTAAAATCGGTATACTGTAATATAAGAAATACGACTGCTGATTTTAATGCACCAATTTTCGCATTTTGTTTTATTCCTAGGAGATTATTTGACCGTTCAATTTCGACAATGGACAATGCAACAGAAGTTGCACACACTTCTCAACATGACGTCGACAATGCTGGAAAAGATGCCGATATGTTCGAGGTGACACCTGAAGAAGACACTACTCAAGAAAAAAATCCCACGGAAGAGAACACAGTGAAACAAACACTTCCCGACGGTATCTCGTCTAAAAATATTGGTAACGCCGATGAAGCCCGTGAAGATAAAAAAGAAAAGAAATATAAAAAAGCGAAGAAACAGGCTGCTCCCACATCTGCACCAATGTCAAAACTGAAAAGTGCTTTGAAAATGAAAGTTCTTCTGTATTCTCATATTTTTTAAAATTTTTTATTTAATCTGTATTCTCATATTTTCACTCAACATTTTATATAATTGTTGGTATATTTAGAAAACAGGACTTCAACAAAATCTACGATTTATATATATATATATATATATATATATATATATATATATAAATAATAAATAAATATAATATATATAATATATATATAATATATATATATATATATATATATATATATAATATATATATATATATATATATATATATATATATATATATATATATATATATATATATATATATATATATATATATATATATATATATAAAAATATATATATATAATATATATTTTATATATATATTTATATATTATATTTTTAATATTTATTTATTTATATATATATATATATATATTCATTTCCTCATATATATATGTGGTTTTACTTTATTTTTTCTACTGTTTCGCTGTTTACACAAATCATAATATATATATATATCATATATATATATATAATAAAAATATATGATAAATGTATATAATATATATTAATCATTATATAAAAATAAAATATCTTATATATAAGATTAAACATAAATATATTATATATATATATATATATATATATATATATATATATATATATATATATGTATATATATATATATATATATATATATATATATATATATATTTAATATATATATATATATATATATATATATATATATATATATATATATATATATATATATATATATATATATATATATTGTATATTCATATATATATAATATTTAAATTATAAATATATATATATGTATAATTCAATATGTATATATCGGTCATAAATATATATATATATATATATATGTATAATATATAAATATATATAATGCTGTAATATATATATATATGAATATATATATATATATTGTAGATATTTATATGTAACAAATCGCTATGTATATGATATATCTCTTTCTAATTTATGTTGTATATCAGTTCATATAACATATATGTATATATATATATATATATATATATATATAATATATATATATATATATTAAAATATAATATAATATATATATATATATATATATATTTATATATATGTATATATATATATAATATATATATATATATATCATATATATTTAAGGCCTATATTATATATATAAATATACATATATATAGATAATCATCATAATATATATATCATCATATATATATATATATTCTGGTTAATATTTATTGTTAATATATATATATATTTATCTATATTTTATTTTGGATGTATATATATATGTATATATATTTATATATATATATATATATATATATATATATATATATATGTATAATATATATTTTTTATATATATATATATGAATATATATGTTATATATGTATAAGTTATTTTTCGTGACTTTGTAATATTATATATATTAATTATAAAAAAAATAGTTTTGCACAATATAATATTGTTACGGTAAAATATATTTATATAAAATATATGTTCGTAATATGTATAATAAAAAATATATTATAAATATATCGTACAAAAATGTATTTAATAAAACCTTATTGAATGTCGTTATTGTCCACATATTTAAATGAATGGATTTATTGCAAACGTTAAATATGTACTAGTAATAATTATTTATGGCATGAAACGGAATGTGGAAAATCACGGTCATCACTAGTCTTAGATTAAACTTAGCTAGTACAATCACTGACCCTATCATACAAGAACAATATTCCTTTCACCAAAACAACACATTTATCCATACCTTCCAAAATGACAAACACCAAAATGCCTCTTTGAATGAAAAACCTAAATAATCCCCTTTATGTACAAAATATTGTAATTGGGGGGGGGCATAAAAACAACAACTTTTAAAAATGAACCCCAATGAAAATATACAAAATGACAAAATATATTTACAAGAAACCAAATAAAATTAGTGTTAATAATAAAACCCCCACAAACTCTTGAATGTGGCAGAAATATCAGTTAACTGGACGAAATCGATGCGGGACTTATGAAATAAGGCCACACTCATTCTTCATCCAAGCATTCACAGGCACACTCATTCATACACAACAACAAACAAACACACACACGAAACGAAAGGCGCCCCGCATCTACCAGAGAACTGACATCACTGACCACCTAAAAAAAAAAAAAAACGGGAGGGGATGGGGAGTTAAACTAAAGGAAAAAAATGGGGACAGAAATAAAAGGGACCAATGAGCAAATACACCTAGCTAAGTTTACCAGAATAGAAAAACTAAAAAAGAAAAAATACAAAAACCTAATCTAACCTAACTCCGGGATGGGTTGCCTATGTTGAACCCAGGAAAACAATATCCTAATACTAACCGGCATCCAGATGCCCTCAAGGTCAGCCCCTTTTACTCGGCACATTCGCGCAAGAATCACCCACCTTTGCTGAATTCCGATGGGGTGAGCCGCCATTTTCCGTCCTGATCTTGACTTTAAGCTGATGCTTAAAGAACAAGATCAGTTGGGAAAAAGTGAACTTCTCGCCTCATGGAATCCCTTCTGACGCGTCGTCCAAATCACGACTCTCATAACCCCTAGTAAGCAACAGAACACATAGTGTTCAGCCTTCGTCATCTGCGGCACCACATTGCTACAAACAGAACTGGCTTCCAGGACAAAAAACTTTCTATGCAGCATGCGAACCATGAGGCCTTCAACAAACCTGCACAACGGCACTACCGCCCTGCACTGAAAAAGGCGTGACCAATAGTCTCGACTTCCCCGTACAGCGACGACAGTTTGGATATTTCTCCAAGCCTGCTGAACAAAGTCTCTTGCCGACCCAGAGGGCTTCACGAATCACCAGCCAGGTGAGTGATGCCTCATCGTTATTGAGACATTTCAACCCGGGCGCCCAAGGCCATATTGCGAGCCTCCTGCTTCGTGAAGACCGAATTTCGCCAATCAGATCATCTTGAACGGACCCCTAACTAAAACTTGATATAATGCCTTGCGAGACAACGCCTGGGCGTTGGAGAGACCATCGAAACCCGTAAGAGGAGCTTCAGAGCGACGACATTCACGATAAAAGAGCACTGGCACGTGGTAAGACGGCCGGCCTCTTGTTCGCAACGAGTGCACACTTTTCAGGGACGGAAATGTTTCTGGACGTCTTCTTTCCAAAAAGGCCTCCTCATTCGACCCGCGACACATTCGGTTTAGAAAAGTAATCTGAAGCATATATTGACGGATCTCAATGCTAGGCATCCCCAGACCGCCCTCAGAGGATGGAGGCAACAGACCCTCGAAAGATACCATAGGGCCTTGCCCTTCCCACAAGAAAGAAACAAGGTCCTCCTTAATGACATTAGTCGGGCACGGGAGTGGAAGCACAGAGGAGTCGGTAAAAGGAGGTTGGGATAGATGTGTGAAAC